TATACTGTACTAGTTAATTTAGTTTAATTTTTAAGTATTACTTTTTTGTTATTATTTTTAGAGCCAATCCGTGTGCGCGTTTGTATATACATGTAATAAAAATTGTTAAGTGTTCAATAATCTATGCGTCTAAAACCTATTCCCGGTACGTGTTCTACTCGGTGAAATGGCTAGCATACATTCGTGAATAACACGTATTCTGATAAGTTTTAATTGCGCATTTAATACCAAGAAAACACCGTATTGAATAATATCTAATTACTGTGTTTTATGTATTTACAAGAGTTTCAAATTCAAAGTTTGATACTCAGTAGTATTCCCATTGCATACTCGTTTTTAAACGAATCTGAAGCGTATTTCTAATGCGTGTTTGACACGATAAAATGGCTAACATACATACGAGAATGATGCGTATTCAAACAATTTTCAAATTAGCATTTTCAACTTAATGTGCCGGCTGGGTATAGCGTTTATATGCCAATTTATGAAGTATATTAAGTCTTTTGTTTATGAAACAGTTTTAAAAGATGATAAAGCATGCCATATTGGTCATATATAATGCATGCCATATATGGTCATATATTGGTCATATGGTCATATATTGGTCATATAGAATGCATGGTCATATATAATGCATGCCATATATAATGCATGCCATATATTGGTCATATATAATGCATGCCATATATAAAGCATGCCTTAGTGGTCGAAATGCTTCGTGTGGGTTTTGCTTACATACCTAAATTTTTTTATTTAATCTTTTCTAATTTATTAAAATACGATGAAAAACTAAATTTTAAAGGCCTATGGATATTATCAGTTAAAGATATATAAAGATATTACACACTATAAAAAACAAAAGGGAGGGATTTTTTTTTTTAAGTTTTTTAAAATTTCAACAAGTAAAAATAAAAAAGAATTTTTAAAACTCAATTCTTTTATATGTTATCAAAACACAATTTTTTTGATATTATGATTTATTTTTATTAACATTAGGCTGAATGCGTTTGTAAAAAAATAAAATTCAGGAAGAGGCAACCACAGACATTCCGTTTACAAAGACAACGCCTTTTCTAAATAAGGTAAACAAGCGTATAAGTTGGTAACAAATAATAAAGTTTTCAAAAAAAAATTGATATTCATTTCACATAAAAAATAAAGTTATTTAAAATTAACTATGCTAAGTGACTTATTGCAAAACTAACTATAAAGTATTGTGTTATTATTGTATAATATTAAGCATGTATATGTGTCCAAAGTTTAGTTTTTTTTAGTTAGTTTATTAGCTATTTGTGGGACGTAAAGTCAGTTGCCACATTTTCTGCAATATAATTAAATATAGATATTACTGAGGCAGCAGAATAACTGGAAAAAAGATAATTATATACGGAAAAACTTAAAGTTTTAATTTTAATTAACTCAAACTCTGTACCTATAGAAAACAAAAAAACTTAGTAGCTGAGTGGCCTAGTATAACTATGGTAGCAATTGCATGGCGCAATGAAAAACATTTGACGTTTGACAAATAACATAACAAAAAATCATTTTGTACGGTTGAGCAAGCACCTTGAGGTTTTTTGCATCAATTAGTGTTACTCAACCTTTTTCTAGCCTTATATAGAAAGTACCCAGCTAACAAGCCCAACTGGGTCCCAGCGGGGATTGACTGGTGTTTTTAATGGGATTAGCATGGGGCTTTCATAAATAGTTCACGGGTGGTTTAAAGATGGGACGCGTGGTTTAGTGGTAGCCTATATTTTTTACTCAAAGCAGTTTTTTGGCATCGTTTTTATTAAAAAATTTTGTTGAAATAAAATTACAAAACTCTTATTAAATGCTATTTGCTTTAACGCGGCTTGATTTAAATTAAATATACACTTGCATTTCGAGTAAATATACACAGAAACTTCATTTGTTTTTTTTATTGTATATTTGTAAAAATATTTACATATCAGTTTTGATTCTATACTAAAAGTGTAAATGTGTTACAATATTTAGTCACCAGTTTAAAAAACAAAACCACACACACACACACACACACACACACACACACACACATACACACAAACACACACACACACACACACACACACACATACATACACACACACAAAGTATGACATGCTCTTAAATGCTCTTAAATTTCTTAATTGCCCTGCATTTACGAATCTTGAGAATTGAAATTTTAGACTGACTCAGACTGAATTTCTATTAAGTTTGAGATATGTATACGTTTTTTTTTTAAACTTGTAAACGGTTTTATCAAACTGAAGGCATAATCTCTAATTATGCAATAGACAAATGTAAAAATTCTTTTTTAATTATTTGTATGGTTTAGTGTGCTTACAGTAATGGCTTACTGTGTTTAATTTTGATTTTTTTTTTTAAACAAGTCTCAAATACTTTTTGAAAGCCTTTGAGTTTGCTATGTTTTGTAAAGTGGCTTAGACAAATTTTTTTTACAAGACATAGCAAATTTTTATATACTTGACAACGAGGGTATCAATAATCCCTTGAAATATTGTATAAAAAGTATTAAAGAGTTACATCCATAATAGAAGTTTTAATTTAATTATAAGACATTGCAAAGTTTCATTATGTAACACTGCTGTATGTAAACTTTCCATATGATTTAATTTTACATAAATCATTAAATAATAGTTTATGTATTTATATATAATATGTAAGTTTTACATACTTATGACAAAAAAATTAAAATCATACATTTATTAAATGTATGAATTTATATATTTTATAAGTATTATTATCAAGTATTAATATATTTCCTATAGTATAATTAATATATTGTCAAATATATAACTAATAGAAAATGTTAAATCGTACATTTATATTATGCATAATAATAATTATAATGCATAATATAAATGTATGAAGTGATAATATTTATAATTTGAGTTATATTACAAATATTATAACTTAAATTTTAATTTGTAGTGCAAAGTTTTATATAGAAAAACATTTAAATAATTTATATTAGGAAATATTTATAAATAATAGTAATTAATGATAAAAATGGTTAACTGCCCAGTTAACCACGACAACTGGGTCCCAGCTGGAATGTAAATGGACTACTGGAACTAAGTTATGGCTGGGATTTAAACTGGGTAAAAGATGGGTCCCATATGGTGCAATGATTACGGTAAAAATTATGCTTGAAAATAGGATAAAATCTTTTAAAATGAAATATATAAATATCACAACTTAATTTGGATTAAATATACACTTGCATTTGGAGTGAACAGGAACCTAATTTAATTTATTTTTAGTATTTTCGTAAAAAATAGTTTTATACATATAAACTTTAATTCTATGATAAAGCTATAAATATTTTAATAGCAATATTTAGACATTCATTTAACAAACGATTTTACAAAAAAAAATTGGGGCATACTCTTAAAACTTCTTAAATGCTCTAAATTTCATCGCCACTGATAAGTTTGAAAGTATGTCAACGTTTACTTTTTTAAAGACTTGTAACCCAGTGGGCACAGGACGTAAAAAAGACGCCCTTAGGACGTTCAAATCGCGTCTGTCCGTCCCATTAAAATTCTAAACATCTTTTGAACGTCTTATTCGAGTCCAATAATTTTTTCGTCCAAAAAATATCCAGAATGCTTTATTAAAATAAAAATAAATCAGTTAAATCACGCAAGCGCTAGAACTTCATAAAATTTTTAAGTAACGCATTTTTAATGAAGTTTTTTTTCAATTACTAATCAAGTCTTTTTACAACAACTAATAGACACGTTCCATCTAATTTTTATTTTTGTTATCAATTGAAAATTGTGTTAATATTGATACAGGTAATGAAATTTTTACAGATAATGAAAGAAACGGTTTAAAACTGAATATATGCTATACTATGTATATATATATACTTGATATACTATTATTATTAGTATAGTATTGCTATATCAAGAACCAAGTTCTAACAATAAGATTTAGACATCTCATGCAGAATCGAATTTTTTAATAGGAAAACCTGTTAATGATCATGGAACAATTATCCTGATAATTCTTTGAATTCAATGTCTTTACTCGACAACATTATGCTATTTTATAATGGAACCAGTACATTAGTTAATGATCTTCTTGAAATATTGCCAAATCAAGGTTTGGAACTTCCCAAAGATTCAAGGAGAATTTTAAAAGCACCTTATGAAAAGCAACTTATAGACAGGTTCTTGCTAATTTATATATTTTTTTTTAAACATTTAATTACTTGAGAATCGTATTAATATTGATACATATATTGAAATTGATACAGATATTGAAATAAATAGTTAAAAACTGGGTATATGATATATATATATATATATATATATATATATATATATATATATATATATATATATATATATATATATATATATATATATATATATATATATATATATATATATATATTAAGTATATACTTGACACTTGATATAGTATTTCAAGTATAATAATTGATATACTATATCAAGAACAAAGTTCTGACTGTTTGAAAGACTTAGACATCGCAGAATCTCATGCATAGTCATATTTTTCAAAAGGAAAACCTATTAATAATACAGAGAGTTTATGGTGATAATTCAATATAATTCAATATCTTTAATTAACAACTTTTAGATTGTTCTATTCGAAATAATTGGACCAGTACATTAGTTAATGAACTTTTTGAAATATTACAATATCAAGTTTTGGAACTTCGCTAATAACCAATTACTTAACTTTAGTAATTAGTTATTAGTGAAGTTCAAAAGTTTTGACTAAAAAATAAGTCTAATTGAAAAAATTAAACCAGTCATAACAGTTATATAAGAGACAGGAGGGTAGAAAATTTCATTTACTCTAAAGGAAATTTTCTACCCACCTGTCTTTTATATAACTGTATTAACATATGAATAACTACTATATCATATGTTGGAATGTTATTCGCAATTTACTTAGTAACCGATGAGAAACACTCCTAAATTTCTCCTTTTTTTTTTATCATCTAGGAAATTTTATTAAAGTAAATGGATTATACTTATTATTAAAGAAATTATATAGTCCTTTGATTGATTGCAAAGCTATATTTCTATTGTGTATATATATATATATATATATATATATATATATAATATATATATATATATATATATATATATATATATATATATACATATATATACATATATATATACACAACCCTTGGAATTAAAAAAAAAAAGTTGACAATAATTTGTCGACATCAATCAAAAAAGCAAAAAAAAGTGATTCAAAAGTCTTACCATTAAACATAGAAACAAGGTCAGCATTATTTGTCGACCTCAAACACTTTTAGGTTGGCATTGCTGCATGCCGACCCTAATTCCAAAGGTTATATATATATATATATATATAAATATATATATATATATATATATATATATATATATATATATATATATATATATATATATATATATATATATATATATATATATATATATATATATATATATATATATATATATGTATATGTATATGTATGTATAAAAGTAATATGGTAATTTATAATAATGTTTCTGTTTTTATTTTAAATTTATTGAAAAAAATAAGATTCTGTTTTCAATGTAGTTATTTTCTCCTTAATTCTGCTATTTTTTCTTTCAAAAAATTGACTTTCGTGACCAAATCCTTTAAAATAATAGAAAAATGTCTCCTTAAAATCCTGACTTATAGCGTCAGTTTTAATAGTAAAAATACAAAATATATGTCAAATAAAATAAAAATGAGTTTTGCTAAAATTTAAAATTATTAGAATTTGTTAAAATTTAGAACTATTAGTTATTATTAATTAAAATTAGTAGAATTTGTAGTATAAGTTGAAATTTAGAAATAGATAGTGTGAAACATTAATTAGATACAATTTAAAGTTGAAAAGAAAAATTAAAAAAAAAATAAATTAAAAAAGCTAATGCTAAAAAAAAAACACTTGTAAGAATATTTTTTACTTTATCCATAAGTTTTATTTACTTGTTAACTAAGATTTTATTTTTAGGAGCGTCAACCATCAAGTGTCAGTTGATACATATGTTTTGGTCAAATACATGTTTGTATTTGGTAATATTATGTTACATTTTTGTTTTGTATTTCAAAAACTCATATTGCATTTATTTAAATATGCATTTAGGAATCTAGAATTGATGTGTTAGTAGTTTTTGTATCTAATTTTGTTTTAAATTGAAGAAATTTTATTTGGTTAAATGTATTTAACTGTAAAGTTCATTTTTATTTTTGCCTTCGGTTTTAAAAAAATAGAACAATGGTTTTGGCAATAGTTCATTTTATGTAATGGTTAATGTAATATAATTTATTTTATGTAATATGCCTAATGAATTTTTATTAGTAAAAACTTCTTTAATTCATTTAGCTCCTCCAAAATTTGAAAGTCTGTGATTCAAAATTTCGCTTTTCCCAAAACAAAGTTAAAGAAAATATATGAAGTCAATGATAAATCTTAAAGTTTTACAAAGAATAATGTAAGTAATATTTTTTCTTCTAATAACTATCTTGGAAGTTATTTTAACTATCTAGGCCCTTTATCTTTAAATTAATTTTTTTAATACTTCTCAATACTCAAAATAGGTACCTAGTCAATTCAAGAATTTCCTTTCAAAAGATGTAGTTAGTAAAATTTTAGTTATATTTTGGTTAGTTATATATATATATATATATATATATATATATATATATATATATATATATATATATATATATCTTCTTCATATCCTGTAACTTCAGGGGTTGATATATACTCTTTTTAATTTACATTAACGATCTTCCAGATATTATCACATCTAAGGTGGCATTGTTCGCTGACGACACTACTATTTATTCTTGTCATGATAAGAAGCCAACACTCTCTGATTTCTTGGAGGGGGTATCTGAGCTTGAAAAGGATCTCACCTCTGCTACAGCATGTGGCTCACAATGGCTGGTGAACTTTATTTCAGATAAAACTCAATTTTTTTCGGCCAATCGTTATCGCAATAATTTTGATCTTCCTATATTTATGAATGGTAATGTACTAGATGAGTCATATACCCTTCATCTTCTATGATTAACTTTTACTTCTGATCTTTCTTTTAAACCGTATATCAAATCCATTGCAAAATTAGCATCTGCTAAGGTTCCATCTCTTTATCGAGCTCGACACTTCCTTACTCTAGATTCTATTCTCTATCTCTATAAATCTCAATTCCTTTCATGTATGGAATACTATTGGAATATCTGGGGCAGATCTTCTATTGATGCCCTTTCTCTTTTAGACAAGGTGCAAAATTGCATTGTAAACATAGTTGGACCTGCTTGTGCAGCCAATCTCCAACCATTGTCACATCGTCGTGATGTTGCTTCTTTTTCTCTTTTCTACAAATACTATAATTGGCAGTGCTCTAAAGCTAGTTTTTTTCTTCGAACATCAGTTCTTTGGAATTTGCTTCCTTCATCTTGCTTCCCTGATTTTAATGATCTTCCTATAATTTGCAATCTTTTAAGTCATCTGTCGATCGTTATCTTGCTCTACAAACTTAATCTTTTCTCTTCCAATAACTTCCAAACTCATATAGTGGTTGTTCGCAGCCTTGTTGGAAGCGAAGATGTAATATATATTTTTTCTATTATAATTTATATATATATAAATTATAATATATAGTCTTTAATTCATTTACTTACTTATCTTAAGAATAATGAAATATAAAAAACGTTTAAAGTTGAGAATAGTTTTGATCTTTACTATATGATTCTATCGCCGAGTCTCTTGAATGTGATCAATCATTTATTGATACTAATGTTGCAAAAAGTAGTATATTTTTTATTATGGTTAAATGTTTATTTTTTTTTTTATAAGGGTAAATTACATAAAAAATTTTGATCTGTAATTATATACATAATGCTCACTTTACAAGTAAACATAATTTACACAAAATTTTTGAATTGAATAAAACACTAATGAATTGCTCCTATGCCCAATATAACTTACACTAAATTGTCCCATTTCAATTACACTAGTGTTATCTTTTGAATTTAGAAATAGAAGTTATTAAATGTTGGTGGCTCATCATGCAATGCATTTGAGAAGGGCATGCTTTCAAAGTAAGTATAATTTTACTATAAAAAGAGCATTCTTAATACCGCAATTATATTGCATACTTGATATACATAAATATATACGCTGGTCACAACAATCCAGTCAAAAATTTCTTTAAAAAAATAAGTTTAGTGTTGTGAAATTTGTATTTTTTGATGTTTGATGTTATGTTTATAAAATAAAAATTATATATATGTGTGTGTGTGTTATTTATTTCTTTCCCCTTTATTTTTACATACTTATCTTAGCAATATTTTTTTATGGTTAAGACTGCTTTCCTGATTCCTACAGCAAAAAAAAAAACTTTAAAATGCTGGTGGAAATATTTTAAAGAGTGCATCTGATCGAAAAGAAAGTGAATGACGTCAACTGTTCGAAAATTCGATTCTTGGAAATTAACAAGTGGAAGAAGAAGTTTACAAAGTTGTAATTTATAAAACTCAGCGCAATTTTATTATTAAAAAATTTAAATGATTTATTATTTTTTTCTATTCTCAAGAAGTTCTGTAAAAACATAATTTGAACCTTACGTTTAAGTAAAGCCATGTTAGAACACGTGTTTTAGACGTCGAAATAAGAACGTCTAAATTAGGTTATTTAAAGACGTCATTCGGCGTTTCCATTTAGCACTAGTTCTGAACGTCCTAAATTCGCGTCTTTTAGACGTCTCAAAACACGTCTTTATTCCGTCCTAAAAAGACGTCCTAATTACGTTTTAAAAAGACGTCATCTGGCGTTGCCATTTAGAACCAGTTCTGGACGTCCTAAAAAGACGTCCTTTTGACGTCATGTGGACGTTTCCGTGCCCGCTGGGAAAATGTTTATCAAACTGAAGGCATACTTTTTTACTTTTTTATGCAATAGACAAATGTTGAAATTTTTTCGAATTAGTTTATGGTTTGGCGTACTTACAGTTATGGCTTAGTCACTAAGTTAAAAAAACTAAATACACTGTAACTTAATTATATATTATTATAGTTATATAAGTTGTATTTTATTATACGTAGTATACAAATAAAACAATGTGTTTCGTTTTAAATTATCTTTTTCAAGCAAATCTCAATGTCACTTTACAAAATTTAATGAGGTTTTACTAAGTAACACTGCCATATCTAAACTTGCCATATTATTTATAAATACATAAATGTTTTACATTTTCTATAAGTTATATAATTAATAATATATTACTTATATTATAAATACTTTAACTGATATTATAAGTTATAGTATTTGTATGAAATTTTTATATGAAAAAATTTCAAAAATTGTTAGGCCTTTTAACGTTTAACTTTATTTGTCAGAAAAAATAAAACAATTATTACATTTTGTTTGAATAAATTTGATTATTAATAACATTTTGTCGGACGTAAAGTCTTTAAGTTCATTAAAATATAAAAATGTATATATTTTGATAGCAATATTCAGATATTTGTTTAAGAAACTATTTGGCTTGTCTAAAAGGGGGAAATGTTGAGTTTTAAGGTTTTAAGATTTTTTTTTATTCAATTATCACAGGATGTTAGATAATTTTAATAGAAAATGTTATGAAATAAATTAAATATACAATCATGTAGTACACAAGTGTAATTTAAAATTGAAAATGTAATAAATGTTGCAAAAACTGAATGTTTTGTATTTTTCACTTGCTATAGTAAGTCAATTTCATTGTGTTATTATATGATATCATAAAGTCATATTTAATATGTTTATTTAAAAGATATCAAGTTGTTTTGGTAAAACATTTTTTTTTATATTATTTTTGTATAAAACTTTATTAAATTTTAAATTTTAATAAAACTTAATAAATTTATTTAAGAGATTCTACTAAATTAGAACAGTTTTGCATCAAATCATTGTATCATATTAGATTTTTTGTTGCTTAAAAATATTATGAAATTCAAATCTGTTTTTTGTCAGACCAAATATTCATTTGCCTACAGTTTTTTTTATTGTCCTAACAGCAAATTTAATATAGATAACATAAATATTCTTTACTTTTTAACTTTATATAAAAATGCAACGCTTTTTAATCAAAAAGTTGTCACATTATTTTGCCAATTTGAGATCTAAATCTGCGAAAAACAAACTATAAAAAAGTTGAGAGAATTTACGGTAAATGAAAAAATTATCAATGAGTTCAACATGGGATTTTGCGTCAAAATCCCACACTAATTCCAGATGGGACCCATGTTAGATTCCACTGACAGAATCGCCATGGGACCCATTAGGGATACCCAGATGGGTCCCAGCATTTTCCTTAGTTGGGACCCAGTTTGAATAATTAACTGGGTACTATGCTTCATTAAATATTATCAATATCTTGAGACCACTTTTACTTTTAAAATTGGAAGTATTATTCTTAAAATATTAATAAATTAAAAATGAATAATCTAAATTTTTTAAAGGCCTTCTCTGGGATAGACTCTGGATTGTTTATCGAATTTGTAAGTTTGGTTAGAGGCTACAATCTATCTATTCAATAGACTATTGTGATTAGATTTTGGCCTTCTTCAAACTTTTGATATGATTTTTGTTCTTTATCATTTCATGTTAAAGAACAAAAATCATATCAACTTCAAAAGTTCATAAGTGAACAAAATTAGAAATATACAAGAGCTTTCATAAGTTATAGTACAATTTTTAGTTAATTAGGCCTTCTTCCCTTATTTTTAATATAAGCCCAAATATTTGGTATTTTTATACTTTTACTTTTTAAAAGCAAATTTTATTGATCTCATTTTCTTTGTTTTGAGTTAATTTTATTTAGGTATGTTTTTAACTTTAGCTTCCAAATTACTGCTGGAAAAACCATTTGATGCTGCCAAGAACATATCGGATTTTTTAAATATTAAAGGTAGTATTGTTTCCCTCAAAAGCCTGAATGTTGTATTAAGAAATATCTATATTAAGCAAATGGGCGAAGAAAAAGATGAACATGACTTTACATGGTCAAAAATTTCAGAATTCT